TTCATTTCCTTTAAATATGAGGTGACTACTGCAACCATTGTATTCTTCATTTTAGATTTTTTTTCAGCTAAGCTTTCTTTCTCCCTGATCACCCACTTTTGGTTATTACAGTGGCAAGGGAGATGATGTTTCTCACATACTCACATACAGTTGACATTCCCAGCCTTAATGCACACACTTCCCTTAAATGCTTGTGTACATGCTTGTGAGAGGCAGACTGTGGGCTAAATAGGATTCCCAGAAACATACAAAGAGATGCTTAACCATGCATAGGTGCTTATAGGCAAGCCTATGATTTCCTGTGCTTACGATTTCCTTCACTATGGAAATGAAGGTGGAACTCTGGCATATGTGTGTCAAACCCATTTGTTGCAAATAACTAGCCTTCCCTGAAAATGTCTTGGGAGTCCAAAAATTCATAGGATTTTAGTGGGGAAATGAAAAGTTGAGAGTGATTATCTTTTAATAAGAAGAATCCCTTGAAATGATTATACAGCAAGCCTTCACTCAAGGTTTCTTCTTTTGGGTAAATCCTGGAGATCAAAAGTTCTGTTATCTTGGCCGTGTGTCTTCAATAAATGTTTAAGTTGTCTGACTGCCCAGCTCCGCCTTCAGCTGCCAAGAAAATCATGCCACACATAACCCTAATAGCATTCAGAGGCAGTGTTTGTGTGTGCCTACCAGTATATTCCTAGTCCCAATAACTTGAATCTTTAGTGAACGTGAATAGAAACTTTCAGAATTTCATGCTAATAACTTTCTTGAGCCAGGCAAAGGACAGCTTTGGAGATGGAACTGATGGAATCAGAGCAAGATAATTTGCAAATTATAGGGAGGCGAGAAAAGGTCCCCCTGCAAAAATCCAATGCTTCCAGTATATCGGGACTTCCCTCTTCTAACAAGGGGTCTCTGTAACATTCAGGTGGACCTTCAGGTGTTACCATGACATCTTTAAAAGGATAATTTTTCAGGGAATACATCTGTACTACATGGATGGACGGATGGACAGACAGGCAGACAGATAAACAAACAAATAAATAAAGGGTCAATCAATCACACCAATGAGTCTGGTTAGAGCTTGGAAATTATTTTTAAACACTATGACCATCAACACCCCCAGTAGCCTGTACTCTATTCAGTTGGGTCCCTTATTCAGAGCCTCAAAAATTTCTTTTTATGAACTACATTTCCCAGAATTCCTCAGCCATGATTTGGCTGGCTGCTGGGAGATTCCTGGGAAGTGTGATCTAACAAAATTACTGCTATATTTCTAGAAGCCAGAATCTGAAATACCTGTAAGATTTCAGATCATGTGTGAAACATTCTGTATTGTCCAAATACAACTAGGACTAGAATGAATGTGGTCCTGCCAGTTTAAGAAATAACTAGAGCTGTGGGGGTTGGTTATCTGTTCCAGACAGAAGGCTTAGACTCATCCATCTTGTGTGTCAAGCAGACATTGTCCTAATTGCCACTGACTTGGGCTTTGCAAGATTATCCTGCAAAGGCTGAAGTGCAGAAGGGGCATGTTTGGAATCGATCTTCCAGTTAAACAGCAAGGAACAGCAAACCAGAACCAGCAAGAACAGATCAGATATATATGGCTCTGCTATCATTTCCACAGCCTCATCTCCCGCCCCACCTTCTCAGCAAAGCAAAGGGGTAGAGGAGGGAAAAATGATCAGCTGTTCGATACTGATGTGGCTGTGGTGGTGGTAGCTGTGGAAAGACAACATTAGCAGAATTAAAATTGTTCAGTTATCCCCTAAATCTGTCAAATACATGACAGTCAGAGGATGTAATTTTCAGCTCTTGTGTGTGTGTGTGTGTGTGTATGCACACACACACACGCATGTGCATGTGTGTTTTAAATCACAATTAAGCTACTGCAGGTAATTTATTCACCATATCAATCAGGCATACATTTCAGGGAAAGCCATCGTATCCTCTAATGGTTAAAAAGGTGCCTTGAAGGATACTGTTGATTTCCAGAGCCAGAATTCAACTTTAAATTTCATCACTGTTAGCACCACCATTGACTACCTCAACTAGTGGCAAACTCCTTCCCAAACCCTAAATTCCTTATGCCCCCAAAATATCACCATGCACAAACAACAGGATCAAAAACAAAAGGCAATAAGAAACAGCAGCCCCATAAACAGTGAACAAGTTTGGTGACTACAAAAGATCACAGAGGCTGGAGGAAGAAAGATTCTGGAAAATGGGAGGGATATGGAATGGTATGTATAAAAGAGGGTGTGAGTGCATGGCTGGCACTGAGTAAAAGGACACTCTGTTTTGTGACATTTTGCACTGTAACATATAGCTGAAAGCACATTTATGTCAGAGAGAGGTATTTAAGGCAGTCATCCAGGTTTGTGAACTCAGAATTCAAAGGGTTCATTCCTTAAGACCAATCATTAAGCAAAGGATGCTAATTTCCAAACACCAGAAGGTAGAGAAACTCTTATTGTGGCTTTCCAACATTTCTGTTTTAGTCAAGAATTCTCTTCTAATCACTATATTCTACCTATAATGTCTGCTTCCACCTTGAATAACAGTGCTGTTCTGATTGCATCTTTGTTGGGGTATTGCAAACTAGGCCAATCTGCTTAAAAATGCAGACTAAAATGGAATTCTCCCAGAGTTCTCTAAAAATGCATCCTGGTTTTAATAAATAAAACAATTATGGCTGTGGCAGGGAACGTAGTTGCTGTGCCTGCTCTACCACCAGAAGAACAGAATCTCGGATCAGGATAAGTACCTACAAAAATTAGGCATTTTGATTATGAGAAACAAAAGCTTTGATCACCATTTTTGCTCCTGAAGTAAATGCTTGCTTTGATACAGAGAGGCTCAAGGCACACACTGGAAAGATGATCTAATTTGAGCTAACACCAGCATCATAACACAGTCAATTAAAGCCAGACCATCACAGTCTTTGATATTTTTATTGTTTTATCCGGCTAGCCAAACAACAATAAAATTACATGCTAGTCGGAGAATGGGTTGCTTTCTTTCCCAAAGGTTCTCTTTCTGGTGGGAATTAGCAGTGGAGGTTATAAGATTTTCATCTGTATGTTGTTTATAAATTATATCCTATTATCTAAAAGCTTTGCTTAACACAGACACCCACGGACTTCATTACAACATTCATCAAGGAGAGATTTCACTAATGGGACTTGGCAAAGAGAAAGAGAAAGAATTCTGAAACCCAAGTCTCAGATAAAGTGCCTTTCTTAACTGTCACTAAGAGATAAAGTTACCAAAAAGGGTATTTTAAAGTCCCCAGGCAGCATTGCCTCTTGGAGAATTCTGGGAATTGTAGTCCATAAACACAAATCTGCATACCTCCAATACAGATTCAACATACCCACCCTCCACAGTCACAACTGCATTCTTTCCCTGGTGCAGCATACCTTTCAAAAGAGCCAGAATATCAGAAGTCACTATGGCATCAGGAAGGAGGAACAAACCTGTCCGGGTTGGAGACAGTGGGTGGATGCTTTTTTCAAAGTGTTGATGGTGGTTTTGATAGGGACATTGCTAGCAGTAGAAAGAGCTTGAAATCTGATGACAGAATAACATGCTGGAGACATCCATAATTGGGGAGGTGTGGGAAAATGTTCTGGGTCCCAGAGCATCATCCTACAGTAATGGCTCAGCAAGGCATAGTATTCAGTAGTTGTTCTCAAAAGTAACTTTCAAAGCTCTGCCTGTAGGAAACCCAACTGTCCTAATTTGTCAGCCAGGTGTTGCAGTGCCAATACCTGTAGAGCACTGTCTGACAACAACAGAAATAAAGTATATTTCCCATGGATAATGATGTCACCATTGTATCAGCTTCATCTTTTAAAAAAGTATGTTCTGAATCTGTAAAGCTCAGTGAGTTGGGTGCCTGTCTGTGGAGTTAGAGGTCTGGAGTTTGATTCCCCTCTATGGTTTGTGGGAGAAGTAGCTAGCCTGTGTAGCCTTGGCCTAACTTCACAGTTCCAGAAGGCTCCTTCCACCACCAGAGAAGGGGATAGTAAACCACTTCTGAATACTCCATACCTGGAAAACTGTTGGCAGGGTCACCATAAATTGGGTTTAACTTGATGGGATGTAATTATTATAGTATAAGGTGTCCTAATGTTTCAACAGAGAGCAATTCAAGTAGTGTCAGCATCAAACTCAATACTGTATATGTATTCTAAACCATTATGCCACTCTCTGAAATCACTTTAGCAAATACTGTTCTACAGAATTATGGAATTTATAGTATTGTGAGTTACTTGGACCTCTCTGTTGTAGTTCAGGGGAATATGTTATTGCTCTCTAACAAATAATTTTAGGTCAATTTGGTAACCAAATTACAAAATCCAGAATTCTATACTATGAAACTATAACAAAGTGGTATCAAACTGCTGCAACAGTGTTGTGTAGTTAGACAGACAGATAAAACCAATCTATTGTTTTCCCCCTCACATTCTTCCCAAAGGAATTACTCAGAAGTGGAGTGTTTTGTTTTGATTTGCGGAGGTGGGGAGAGGTTCTTCCTAGGCTGGGTCTCAGTGAAATCTGGGGACAGAGCCACGGAAGGAATGGCGAATGCTGCAGGAATGGTGGCTGGGAGAATAAACAACCCATGTGAAGACAGCTCAGTGTTCAGAGAAGATAAGAGGACTCATTAGCTGACTGCCCTTTGGTGAGAATTCTCATGGTTGTGTCTCTTGCACTTTCTCAGGCTTGAGACCAAAAGCATTTCTGAGAGCGAGTCATGCATATTTTTTAAGAATTCTTCTCCGCCCCCAAAGGGGATAAGTGACATCATCATCACCACAGTCAAGCATTTCAATAAACAGTGGAGATTGGAAGAAAAATGATCCCAGAGTGAAAAAATCCCAAGCATGTCAAAGATTTGGTGCTAGAAGGAAATCAGTGTCTGGGAAATTCAAGGATAGAGGCTTCTGACTAAAGCCCCTTCAAGTGTACAACATCATTTATTTCCCAGATGGTACCTTATATTTATCCTCGTGTTTTACAATCCTAGATTGGATAGTCTTGATTTTATTGGCTGGATATAATGTTTCAGCACCAAACGTCTCCTCCACCTTGATTTTCCTCCCTCGTTGTTTGCACCTGAAGAAGAAGAAAGGGACACTGAAAACAGCAAATTGTGACCACTTTGCTTACCTAATGCTGAACTGATGTTACTATACTTTGATTGCTACCTGAGTATGGATGGAGAAGACTTTAATGCACAGAGAAAAGTTAAACAATCTCAGTTCTATGGCTGCTTGTCTTGAGATTTGTCTCCTCGTGTGGAACTAGAGAAGCACAGAAATTCACTAAGACTTCAGGCAACTTCTCACACTACACCAGAATACAGAGTTCTAACTCCTGTCCTCTGACAATGCTGGCCACAGAGACTGACAAAACATTAGGAAGAAAAACCTCCAGAACATGGCCAGACAGCCTGAAAAACCTACAACAGCCATCAGATCCCAGCCGTGAAAGCCTTCGAGAATACTTCAGGCAACTCCTAAATCCTAGCAAACCAAGCTAGCAAGCAGAAGGACCATGGGTGGGCTGTTTCAACACTTGGGATCAGGCAGTCAATTAATTAAAGAATACCCATGAAAAATCACAAATTAGACAGATAAATGCAGAATATCCACTGGCAGCCATTCATACTTGCCCTTGAAGTGGACAATAGGCAGTTAATATTTTAACAATGTAAATGTGAGGCATTCATAAGCATTATTAAGTCATGATGTGTTTTCTTGACTACAAGGACAATCTGCTTTTCTAAAGGCTTCATTCAGTCACTGCCTTAGCAGACAAAGATACCTCCAGACTGAGAGAACAATGGCAGAAAATTAGAGCATTGGATATTAGACCTGAGTGCTACATGTATATTTAGGGGGAGGGGCAAGAAATAGCTTCAGGAAACAGGGAAGGGATGTATTTCCCATAAGAATGGTCTCCAACTCTCTTCTGTAAGGAGAGATAAGGCAGCTCTGGAGGTCAAGGAGAGGTAGACACACATGCTCTTTGCAAATGTGGCTAAGCTGATAGCATCACAGATTGGATATTTTTCAAGACAATGCATCAGAATATTTGCACATATATTTATTTATTACTGTACTTTTCTGCAAAAGAAGGAAACATATGGCAAAGTTCCCCCCACATCCTTCAGCCAAAAGACAATGGAAATTGACTCTTAATTCCTATGCTACCAGCTACCCTTCCTTCTTCCAAGTCATAGATCTGCAGGCAATGTGGTGGGATAAAATACAACCTTTCTAGATATTGTTGGACTACAAATCACATCAGCCTTCACCAAGAATTATTGAGAGCTCCAGTCCAACAACATCTGCAAGATGATGTTTTGCCCATCTTTCTAAAAGGGAAAAGAGTCACCAATGACACCTGGGGTTTCCTGCATGGCCATCCAGAGATTTCCCCTAATGGGAGTGCTTTTGAACGTGGATTTTAGATTAATTTTTCTAACCTGAAATTTCCAAAATGGTGCCTTGCAGAATATCTAAGGTATGCATGGAGGGTATGCGGGGCCAGGTCCTTCACTTTTTTGAATCCATTGATTGAGAAGGAACTACTCAAAGACCTAACCTTGAAAAAACAAATTTAACTGGAATCTCAGCTTCAAACATTTTCCGCCCATGTTTTGAAAGTGAGAGCATGCTCCCACCCCACAGAAGGACAGGAAAAGCCTTGAGAATAAAAGAGAGACCAAAAGAGCAATTTGGCTCCCAATATTCCCACATCTGTCCTTTATTTTTTCATGGGTAGAAAAACCTGACTCCAGCCTATTTGCTGAATAGAAAGGGGAAATGCAGGAGGAGTTGTTGCGTTTGGCTCCCACACAGCCTCACTGGTGCTCATTGAGTGAAGTGCTCCTCATCTGACCCCAAGCCATAGCTATCTCCCCATGGGTTGCTCTGCTAACATTTCAACAGGAACAAAGGAAATTGCCTGTTTTTCTAAAGAAACTGTGCCGAACGGCACCTCGTCTTTAACTCACTTAATTCCGGTTTATCAGATCTGAGTTTTTTAATCCTCCACTCCTTTCATTCTCAGCTTCTCAAAGATACAAAGTGGTTGTGGGTTCCTTTTCCTTGTATCTGCTTGGTCATATTCAGTAAGAGGTGGAACTGACCCAGGACACGTTACTGCCGGAGACCATTGATAGAAAACATTCATTCATGGGTGCATTTGTGCTTTTAACTCCAGAATCCCACACACAGCATGAATCTACTTCCACTTACAAAAACCAGATGAGTCGTTGAGTGTCTCTTCAGCACTGCTGGTGGGAGAACTTTCTTCCTCTCTGCTTCGCTTGGAGGTATCAAGTTAGCTTAGGAATACAGGGAAGGCTATCTGGTGCATACCTGTCTGCTGTCTATTACCCCCTGGTATCTGCTGCCTAAGCCAACCCTCTCAACTTTGCCTAATGCCAGGGCTGACTTTGCATTGGAGACTTTGTTAATCTCTCTCTTTAGTAGTGAGGTGTTGGGGAAAGGTGTTCTTGTGAGCTTGATTAACATAAGGCCTTGGACCATATGACCAAACAACTGTAATGTGGCTCTCTTGATAAACCTGTTTGATCAACTGACTCCACCAGGAGTGCATAAAGGGCCACACAGGTGCATTGCACATTGACGGGTGGAGATATGCAGCATTCATGATGTATTTTGTATGATGGTGTCTGTAAGCCAGCCTTTAATATCTGGATGGATGGATGGATGGATGGATGGATGGATGGATGGATGGATGGATGGATGGATGGATGGATGGATGGATGGATGGATGGATGGATGGATGGATGGATGGATGGATGGATGGATGGATGGGAGGGAGGAAAGGAAAAAGGAAAAAGGAAAAAGGAAAAAGGAAAGGAAAGGAAAGCTTTCATCCTGAAATTCCTAGCCTCTTATGAAGAGTAATTTCAGGTTATATCCCTGACTGAGGCACAAGGGGTAAAGAGAACTGAAGATCCATCTAATCTAGTTTCTTCTTTTGCTGGTCTGGTGGCTGAGAAGTAACCAGATACCTTCAAGATGTTTATTTATTTATTTATTTATTTATTGGACTTATATACCGCCCCATAGCGCTACAAGCACTCTCCGGGCGGTTTTCAATTTAATTATACAGGCTACACATTGCCCCCCCCCAGCAAGCTGGGTACTCATTTTACCGACCTCGGAAGGATAGAAGACTGAGTCAACCTTGAGCCGGCTACCTGGGATTTGAACCCCAGGTCATGAGCACAGTTTTAGCTGCAGTACAGCGTTTTAACCACTGCACCACGAGGCTCTTGTTCATGTGCAGGGTGATATTTTCTCCCAAGTTTTGTAGTTCTTGTGGAGCACCCTCTCCCAAGTTGCCAGCATGGTGGTACCTTGCACCAACCATGATATTCATCTGAGCTTCTCCCCTCCTTATGAGACAAGGACACCCAGCCTCTAATGTTTCTTGTCTCCTAGTTCTCTTGAATCCAGTACTGTACATTTCATTTCTCATCTTTTGCAGAACTTGCTTTGCAGTCACTTGTCCCTGCATCTGTATATCCACAGTCCAATTACATCAGCTCAGACAACAGGACCTGGGACAATTATAAGACTTTCTAGTTCTTATGACGGCAAAACTGAAAATTTGAGAAGACACAGAGAACACTTGATGAAAATGGAGAGTGAATCAGATGGGTGGTGGTTTTTCTCTGACCTTCTTTGCAGCTGCATGAAGACTACTTTGAATCTTTCCATTTCTTGTAAAAATGAGTTCATTCTCTCAGTTCTGTCCCTCATGGAGATCCACAACACTGTGGTCAAATGTGTGTCCAAAATACCATTGGACTTCTGCTGCTTGTCCCCTTTTCCCCTTCACATCTCCTCTTGGCCGGTCTAAACCGGCAAACCAGCTTGGTTTCTGTTCCGGCCTGAAGACCCTATGATATACATTCCGCAGGGGCTTGTTTATTTGCTCCCAAGCAGCTGTTTCAAATTGGGATATTTGAAGACTTCAAAACCTCCCAGTGGGGTGTCAATGTTTTTTGGTAGCTGTTTATTTCAGAGAAAACCTTAACCCTGTGGAGTCAAACTGATGGCTGGTGAATTTCCTTCAAGCCAACTCTACCTGTAATCCTGTTGGTTTACAGATCTAGTACTTTGATTCATTGAGGCGGGGGTCCTAGACCCTTTGATTCAAGGGATGAGAACTGGGAGCTCAAGGTGGTTACCTAAGGAAGAAGGAGGAAATGTCCTCCTTTATATTCCATGCAGGATGAAATATTTTAGGTGCAATGCTAGCTATTTCTCAGTCATATGCTTCCATAGGAGACAGAAAAAAGATACTGAAACTAGGAGATCATGTGATAAAAGGAGGGGAAGGAGTGGTTTTCTAAGAGAAAAGTGCTAGAGCAAAGTATCTGTCCAAGACACCCACATTCCGGGCTGGCTCTACCATTAGGAAGATTGGAGCAGCTGCCTCAGGCTGTGGAATTGGGGAACACGGTTGAAAGATTACCTAAGTGTTACTTAATTGATTTGTTAATACTGTATAAGGTTTTTTAAATTTTTAAAAAATATTTTATTAATTAATAACGAAGTACATTCCAAATGTGGGAAGGGGAGAGACAAAATAAACAACTCATATTTAGTCATTCAGGGAAGCAAATATTACTTGCATTAAGAAACAAAATGAGGATCAGATAACTGATTTTTTTTAAAAAAGACCAGCAGTCAGAAGTTAACATTGCATTCTAACTGCCGGGAATGGGCACAGCTGCTTTCAGGATTTTCTGTCCCATGTATCAAAACAAAATGGCTATTTTAGATGCCATGGATTAGAGGTGGACATGTCTGTTTTTGGGCTGTGAGTGTCAGAATTCCTCAGCCTGCTGGGTGTTGTGGTGCCCAGAGCACTAATCCATATACCTTGAGTATGCACATTGATTTGGATGGGATGTATCTCTTGCTTCTGCTGCTGCAGGCAGTCCAAATGTCAAGTTGCCCCTGCCTGCAATGTTCCACAGGCTTGTGTGTACAACACATGAGTAAATGGAGCTTTTGTGTGTGCTCCATGACACAGCATTCACTGACATCTCTGAAAAACATTGAAAGCTATTTTCTTATGTTGCCATGCAACAACCACAAAAAACCCTAAAATATGTACGTAGGTGTAAATCCTGCACCTTGCAATTATCAAATGTTGGCACCGCCTGAGATACAACTTACCTTTTCCTTCTTCCCACTTTTTTTTTAAAAAAAATCAAGACTTCCACCTTCTACCTTAAAACAATGTTAATTTCACTTATAGAATGACCTCTTCTCTGTTGATGGCTTGCTTTAGAAAAAGATCAGGACATTCCACAGAGGTCACTGTCATGTAGCTAAGCTAGAATATGGATAGATTTCTTGATTATAGTGTCTAGAATTGCATGAACATCCTTGATATTAATCCTTGAAATCAACCAGAACTTCCATAGGCAGGAGCAGTAGATTGCACACCAGATACTGGAGATGATTCAGAAGAATAAGCTATGGCTTTCATGATCTGCCTGTGAGATTCCTAGAAATACCTGGCTAGCCATTCTTGGAAGCCAGTTTGGCAGATGAGATTGGTTTCTGGGATGATCCAACAGAGCTTTTCTCTTGTTCTTAAGCCTTCTGTCCAAATTTAGGATCTAGCCAATTTTTCCACATCTGGAGGATTGAAGGAACCTCTTTGTAAATTAATGTTCTGCTGCCTCTGTTTGGCAAAAAGTGCCTTGTTTATCTCAAACAGCCTTCACCTCGCTCTTTCCAGGTCTTAGCAAATAATGTTCCTTACACCGAAACCTTTTTTGCATATTCAACTCAAAACCCTCTGTGTGCTTCCTAGCAAACAGTGTTTAATCCAGATGCAAAGACCACACTGAACACTTACTGGTAGTCTGCATGGTTGCATGGCTCCCATTCCCAGTGTATGGTTGGAAGAGGGATCCCACTTGCTGTACACTGAAGGCCCTGTTCTTCTCCTTTGGTGACCAACTCCGGCTTGTAGAAATCTGTCTCCTTTTCATAAATTTTGGGTCTCGCTGGAAAGAGTAAAAGAAGCAAAGCCAAGTGTCAAAGAACTGCTTTCAGTGAAGTGATACAGGTAGGGGAGGTAAAGGGTGGATGAGATGAGACAGGATGAGAGATTTGTGATTTTAAGGGTGGCATCAATTTTGCCAAAATGGTGATTTACTCCTGGTTTTATTCCAAACTTTGCGGCAGCTCGCCAAAGTCCTGGACCTCTTTGGGGCATAGGGTTCAGCACTTCAGATATCTTCTAAATTGAAACCAAAGGTGGATTTGTCACCTCTGTGAAACAGGAGTCACCATCATCCTCTGTGACAAAATGTTTTTCTCCTAAAAATGCAATTGTTCAATGATGCCCTGTCTGCAAATTCAGCTTGCAAATGAAGCCTGTGCTTATCACTTGATGACCAAACCTCAGAACAAATGCAAGCTAAAACTTTGCGTTATGTTGAAAATCAACAAATGTAGCTTTGATTTAATTGAGACAAAGCAACAACAAATCACAGTTCCCTAGTTTTGCTACAAATTTTATTCCTTGCTACCATTCTTGGTTGATCACAAACAGAGCTTTGAAAGTTACTTTTAAAAGCAATTGGTTCCTGTTACTAATTAACATTTTTGAAAAGTGACCAACTGCTGATACTTGTAGCAATGCTAGAAAAGCAACTTGTTATGGAACATTGCATTTTGCATTTCTTTTAATGGGTGTGTGTGTCACATTTTTTTAAAAAAAATCTTAATATTGAAAAAACAGAATCACATAAAACATGGGAATTTCCAATGCCCCTAAAATGTCCTTTTAACCTATCTTTGGAAAGTAACTAGGAAATGTTATTCAGTTATCTTGTTTTTAGTAAGTATTTTTCTCTTTTACATTTAATTAGAAGAATGACTTCCATGAGAGGCAAACACTCCAACTACACAATACTTTTTAAGCACATGCTGTTATCATAATGATAATCATATACCTGTATTGCTTGAAAGGACCCCCTATGACCAATGCGTCCAGCCCTTGTCAAGGAGGCACAGTGGAAAATTAAACTCCCAACCTCTTGCTCCACAGCCAGATACCTGAACCATTATTATATATTACTTGGGATCTAAAATGATTTGACAGATACAGTTAACAATTGCTGAAGGAAACAAAAGACCAATTCTTTACTTTAAAGTCAAAGACAGGTCTATTGAAAACACTTGAATTCTGTTTTTAACAGATACGTGCGCACATACATTAGTGCTTTGGAGTGAGTGCATAACAGTTATGAGGAATGTGTTGATAACACAGTGAGAATGAACGATTAAAAGGAGTACGTATTTTGAATTAGACATATCCAATTCTGTTGTCCTGTCTAGCCTAGAAATGATTACTGAACAAAGGTTGCCATGGCAACAAGAGTTTCCAGCCACTTGGGGTCTTTCGTGGACCTAAATGTTGACAGAGGCAGATGCCTACCATAAAAAACGGCAGCACGGTGTTTCCTTGACACCTTTTATTGTCAAGTAACTATGAAGTTGGGGCGAGTGTCCATGTGCTTGCTTTAAAAAGATACTAATCATTATAGCTGGATGGAGAAAAAGTAGGCTTCCAGATGTTGTTTCTTAAGTACCACTGCCAGATCCTTTCTCTGAGATTTTAAGACCTAGTAGCACAATCTCGTGATAGTATGGGCACATCCTTTACTAACAATTGCAAAATGTTGTATGTTTAATATATTGACAAGAGATGGGACTTTTACATTTCATTGACTGCAGATCCCATACTTCTCCATTCTACAAATTCTGCCTGACAGGCAGACATCTTACAGACACCATAAGGTCCACCTATGTGAGACATGGGAGCTCCCTCAGTGGAATCATCAACATCTTAACTCATTGGCTTACATCATTAGAAGACAATATTTAAAGTTAAAAACAAGGAGTATACAAAAGTGGCTTATGTAATTAAAAGACAACGTCCGTCTGCCTGTCTGTCTGTCTATCTATCTATCTATTTACTTTCCATTTTAAGTCTGCAATCCTGCATTGACTTTCCTGTGCTGCCAGTCTCTTTTCTCTCCATCATTCTCCCTTTGTGTACAGAAGCAAACCAAATTTCTCAGAAAAGTCTTGTTCCTCGGAATGTGACATGGCTGCCATGTAGCAGCAAACCCGGTTTTCACAAATGCCAGAGTCTAAATATAGCTTGAGTCACACTTTAATTCATGCACACCAAACACAGATTTAATAAGACAGGAACTGTGAAGCAAAACAAAAGTCTCTTTACAAAAAGGAAAGCTTTCTCTCTGCTCTCACTCACACATGTGCTGAATGGGTGTGAACTTAGAACTTACTGAAGTGGTTAGTAAGTTAGAAAAGCTAATGTGAGCTGAACAGGCATGCAAAACATCCCCTGGCAATGAAGTAGCACGTCATCACAAATAAACGGTGTGTAAGAGTTCATTGTGTGTCATGGAAGCTGTAGCATTAAGCACACAGTTAGTCTGTACACGATTTCAGGTAACAGTTTGGTTTCAGTCCTCACCTAACCCCTATCCTGATACAAGCTAGTACAGTACATTTTAAAACTGTTGATAATATTCTGTACCTTTAACTAAACAGGAAAACTCTTCTTGTATTCAAACCTTCCCACTTCAGTGGATAGAAGTGCCTGACTATGGAGCCAGGAGTTCAAGTCCCCACTGTGCCTGTCAGGAGAGGGGCCAGCTAAGATCACCCAGAGCACATGTGGGTGATGGGCAGCGCTGTAAGAACCATTCTGGCATCTGAATCAAGTAAGATTAAGCATAGTCAGAGTTGGTTACAAACAGTGGTGTAGCACAGCCTAGGCTTGTAGGGACAGGAATTTTGGAGCAGCAGGGACTATGCCACAGTCTACCCCTGTCCAACATTCACTGTCCCCTCTGAGCTTAGCTGGAATACTCACAATAGCTTGGAAGGAAATGGATTTTCCCAGCAATGGGATATTGTTACAAGCTCTCCCTGCTGTAACGCAAAGTACTTTAGGGTGGCTGAATGGGCAGTTCATGAACTTTACAAATAACCTGCATTTATTAGAATGGATTGGTCCAGTTGCCTGCATTTTTTGCCTCTTCTTATGGTGGGGCAGGGGCCAGCTGTGTGGACTATCACAATGAGCACCTGCACTTCCAAATTTATCTCTACAATACTGGTTGCAAAAGGCATGTATTTAGCATAACAGCAGCTGGTGCACATTACAGTTAGTGGGGTGGAAGACCCAAAAGCCAATGATGAACAGAGCTAGAGAGACTGATAGAACCAGGACAACAGTCAGTATTAATACACATATGTGCACACACATAGCCAAGTAAGCATTTACATACAGAGACAACTGGGTGGGCAAGCAGTCACTCACACTACATCTCTTCATGACCCTATTCATTCAGTCCACAGGAGGAGAAATATACCTTGGACCTAAACTAGATATGGTTAATCTTACTTTTACTTGATTCAGTTGCTTCACTTGCACGCAACAGGGAAGAAATCTCACAGCAGTTGAGAAACTGTCATTTATTTTCCCAGTGGTGTGTGTTGAGTCCTGAGAAAATCTGTGAGTATATGTTACATCCTTAGACAGGAGTGGGCAGAAACACCGTCCTCCCTGGGTCAGAGTCAGACCTGGGCTGTCAGGGGGCAGAAGAGAGGGTGGGATGTGGTGGGAGGGCTCTGTATGATTTGCCAAGACTTCTGTCTCTTAATAATCTGAACTTGAAAGTTCACCTCCCTCCCTAAATTAGGGTGAGAAAAAGGCAACATGGGAGAAACCCAGGAGTGGATTTTTGCGGAAAAGGCTATTAAAAATAGATTCTGATGCCAGTCACAAATCTCAGGATTGGGGTTGCAGTTGAGGAGTGAAAACTTCACACATACACAGATAGAGAGAAAGAGCAGGAATGTAAGGCTAAACTCTGGTCACTGATGCTTTTCTCTCTCCACTCCCTTCAACCATCAGTTGGCAGCCCAACCTCCTTGTAGAAGATGGAGATACTGCCTACAGCTACCACACCAGGTGCTTTCCTCCCTTGGTTCCTGTCAGGAAGGAAAGCCAGCCATCAGGGGTTCATCTACCTGAAGCCTCATTTCAAAGGCAGTCTCTCCAAACATATTTAAAATGCAACTGCAAGTGTTTGCCTCCTCTCTTGGCAGAAGAGTTAAAGGACCTCAAGCCAGCTTTGATGAGACTCAATTGCTGGTGTGAAAGCTGACCTGAATAACAACATCCCTTACTGCTCCTGCTGCTGCAGAATGTGTGCTCTGTTTCAGATGGGAATAAGGAATGTCATCTTTTTTTTCTCCTGGGATGCAGCCCAGCCTCCATGTACGGGATGGAGACACTGTCCACAACTCCCAAACCAAGCTCCAGAAAGCAATTAATGTGAAGAATAATCGAGAAAGATTAGCTGGGCAACAGCTGCTCACCATTGCAAGCCACCATTCTTATCAGATGAAATAATTTTATTTGAAATTTAGATTGAACCCAAATTAAAGAAACAGTATTATTCCCCTTGTAAGAAGAACATTGATATTACGTTCCTACACCTGCTCACTCAAAATTCAGACCCATTGCACAGAGTGGGATTTACTCATAGGGAAGTATACCTATCAGATTGGCACAGTGCCCCATCATTTCTGCTTTGACTTTCCTTGGAATTTCACTGGTAGGAATATTTTGATTTTGGCCATTTCTGCATTGTCTCTTTCCATTTTTATCAATGTGCTGTGTGTGCTGATCAGCTATAGCTGCAACTCACGCAACAATATATTTGGAGTAACACTTACCAAAGTACCAGTAAAGAAAAAATGACAAATTAAACAAATTAAAATTCATTTGGGACAATGTAGAGGAAATCCAGAATAAGAGTAATGGAGAAGATCTGAAGGAAAAAATTAATAAATGTCTGTTGAATATTCAAAGATTTGTACTTTAACATTAAAATCTTAAACCTCTCATCAAATATTTAAATCCTGGAGTCAGACTTCAGCATTTAAAAAAAAATGCCTGGCCTGTTTTTAAAATATCTCTTCAAGGAACATTGCCTGACTGGTGAATGAGTTTGGTACAAAACTGACCAAATTTGCAGAAGCTTGCCGTTAAGTATAGTTTACAATATTTCTAGAGCAAATTTGGCTCAGCATGAGAGTTAATACTAGGAATGGCTGGATAGTGCACCAAAATAGCTGCAGACTCTTTGTTCTGTTTCATAAAACAAATTCTCTAGCCGCATTCAAGAGAAATGTCACTGTTGCATAAAAGCCTCTGAAGAGACACTGTGAATTCAGTTTATTTGTTCTAGGGTGAGAATGAAAAATACCCTTATTTGACCATAAGTAGTTTTTAATCCCCGCTGCTCCTTGCTTTGTACTCAAGCCCGGAACAACTATTTTCTCCCATGTGTTTCATTCTTGGCTCACCAGGATGTGTCGTCGCCAGCTGTTTGTTAAGATCATCCTTTGCTCTTTTCCCTACCCCTCACAAAGACTTCAAGACATTTGCCTCTTGAAGCTTTGACTCTAGATGAGAATTTAATCCAACAGAAAACAAAACAAAACAAAAGCACAGCAACCCACTAGTTTTTGGAAGTTCTTGATATCCAAATATGGAAAGGAAGAATGGTTTTAGAAAATGAAAACAAAAGAAAGACAACAAAATACCCCATGATCCTGAGCCACCTCTGGGAGGCTCAAGAGTTCCACACACCATGCCAACAGGAGGGTTGGTTTCTCTTGTGAGATTAAATTCCATCTCTCTCCTGGGTGGTGTGGAAACAAAGGTGGCCCAAATATAGAGCTGCTGCAGACATCAAATAATCTGTGCATAGGGAATTCCAATGTTCAGTATGGCCTGGAATTAGGGAGAAAGGGGCCTTGCTAAGAGATTTAGATAGGGATGGGATTTTTAGATTTGTGGGATTATAAATCTCATAATGCCCCATTCTGTGAGTTCTACCTGGCAGACGGACACCTAAATGTAGCTCACCTGGGAGAAAAGCATTACATTGTAACCCACTCTCCAAAGCTCCAAATTTTGAGATTCAATGTCAGCAAAAGTAGAACCTGAAAATACTTCAGAAGTGGCACAAAAATATTTTTTCCAGGATTTCACAAAAAAATGTAGTTGATTTATTTTCTTTGGGTTTTGTTGTTGTAGTATTATGTCATTTGTTTATTTATAGCCCTTTTTTCTCCATATCTAGTCATGCTGGCCACATGACCACGGAAACTGTCTATGGACAAACGCTGGCTCTACGACTTGGAAACGGGGATGAGCACCGCGCCCTAGAGTCAGACATGACTGGACTAAATGTCAAGGGGAAGATTTACCTTTACCTTATCTTTCTTTTTTAGTGTCTTACATGGGGCATTATTACCAAGCAAGTAACTTTTAAACAGTAGGAGATGTTGTAAACCTTTATTCCTACCTACTTTGCAATTATTTCTTAAATTTTAGAATTGAAACCTACTGTGAACACTAATAGATGGATTAACAGTGGAGATGAAACCATTTTGAAATACATTAGGATTCCCACTACCCAAATCACCCCAGTGTTTAAGGTTAGGAAATCTTGTCATTCTGTAAGTACTTCATTATTTTAAGAAAACCATGGATGGTTAGCATTTAGGTACTTAATATTTATGAACAGTTAGATTTTTATCATTTTTGTCCTACAGCACATCCAGAAATAAATTATCCCAAAGGGATATTTTTAAAAATAAGAAACAAATGCTGAGATTATTGGCCTTGTGCACACCGGAGACTTTTTAAATCAGACATGTTTCTGAGAAACATTCATATGGGAGTGATTTCCTCTACCAGTGGATGAAGCGTTCTTAGAAGTTCAAAGGCCTCCTCCTCCACAAGTCACACAGAAAAAGGTTCATGAATTCTTCCCTGTGAGGCACGTCATAGCCCTCTGTGTTCTTCACTAAGCACTGATCTTAACAGAAAGTCTCTCAACATCCCAATGACCTATCTCTTACCTTGTATCATTTCATTTGCTTTGTTTATTGCTTGTTTTGAGTTATACTGAGGGAACGGTTTAGTGTGATAGCACTGCCCAGGCAGGCACATCTTCAGGACAGTGTAAAAAATGAGTCAGTAGGATGGCCTCAGTTATAAGCTGGAAGGGAAGGCAGAGAATTGGGCGAGGTACCTCACAATGTGCATACAGAGATGGAACCTGCAAGAATCTATCCTGAAAAGCACATCTGCTTGCTTGTTTCCTGCCTGCCAAACTTAGGAGCCTCGTGGCGCAGTGGTTAAAATGCTGTACTGCAGCTAAAAACTGTGCTCACGACCTGGGGTTCAAATCCCAGGTAGCTGGCTCAAGGTTGATTCAGCCTTCCATCCTTCCGAGGTCGGTAAAATGAGTACCCAGCTGGCTGGGGGGGGCAATGTGTAGCCTGTATAATTAAAAATTGTAAACCGCCCGGAGAGTGCTTGTAGCACTATAGGGCGGTATATAAGTCCAATAAATAAATAAATATAAATAAATTACCAGGTGCTAGATGCTTCAGTGCCCAGGAGCCATGGATGGGGAAATGGACAGGAGTGGCACACCGCTACTGCCAGCACTTCACTCTCTTTCCTTTCTTCTTCTTAGGCCATTTAGCTTCCATTTAGCATTATTAAGTCAGTATAAAGGTGGTATTAAAACATGTAGACTTAGCCACACACTTCCTACACCTCCACAGTCTCATAGCTGTTTGTAACTGTTGGCAGAAGATACAGTAAAGGAATACTCCCTTATTTAAAAGGGAACATATCAGAATCATGTCTGATGAAGCCATGTGTGGAAGGGTAATTGCACAAGTGGTCCCCAAGTTTGGTGGAGTGTCCATCATGTGATAGTTGTGCAACTGGTTTGTCCAACAGGATTCTGGCCATAAAGCATCCAGGACATCGAAATATAACTTCATGAAGCAACAGCTCATACAATCTGCTGGCCACAAAAGTCATTGACCATGCTGGCTGGGTGACAGCACAAGCTGTAGTGCCCTTCTGGAAGGAGCAATTTTCCTATGCATTGAAAACTTGGTTTGGGTTTCCTCGAATATGTTGGAGACTAAATTAATTGAATTCTGTGCCAACGTACAAAAGAATCCCATAACATAGGACATGGTTCAAACATGAAGCAGACTGCATTCATGTCCATATTTTTCACATTATAGGGTAAATAAGGTAAGCTTCCCATACTAGAAGCCAACATTTTCAGTTCCAGGAATTATGTATTTTAAAACAAACCTCCTTTAGGGCTGATGCTGAAACAATGATGCCTGTAACATTCCTGGAAGAGATGAACCATGTTATTTCCATTTCTACAGCTGCTGCTACTCTGAGATCAACATTTAGGTTCTGATCTATGTTTTCCTGCTGAACACAAAATGAAAAATAGATGAAAACAAATCCTTCCTCCTTGAAAACCATAATGTACTGTATGTGTAGATCACTTTGTAAAGCCTTCAAAGAAGCACAGCTGATGTAGCAAGACATAGTGGCTGACCTGTTACCAAGAGCTAGCCTTTAGGGGTGGGTTGCACCTGGATTCAAGGAGCATCTGTTGGCTCCCAGTTTTGTGCTGGATGCAGTTCAAAGTCTAGGAGCAATGTCTCTGAAGGACCATCAGATTTGTCTGTCTGGCAGCCAGGAACTACTGGAAATTCTTCTATGCCTGACTTTGACTGTGAAGGCCAAACAGCTGTTTCCACTGCTATCTCCAATCAGTTAATCTCTAGATGGTTTGGATTACAACTCCCATCCTCCTTGATCATGGGTTGTTCTGGCTGAAACTGAGGGGAGATGCCATTCAAAACATCTTCAAATTGGAGAAATCGGGTTTATGGCAAGAGGGAAACACTTAGCTTTACGGTTAGTTAGTCGCTTACGGAGTGAACTGAGTGATTCGGGGAAGATACAGTTGTTTCATTCATACCCAATGTATCTCTGTCTTTATTGAGGTCAGACAGATTTTTGCGGGGAAAGTCCACATATCAGAAAACTCTTGACAAGTCATCTTCTTTGTGGAAAGTAGGATAATTTGTTACCTAAAATGGAACACGTGCTCTTTTTATCTCTTTTGTACTTTCTATGCAGAACTATTTCTACATTCTATAATTTTTGGCATTCTTTCAGCCCCTATTCTTTCAATAAGCAACATATTTACAGTAATTGTAATAACAGTTCCAGATTTATTCATGCTGCTATGCTGATCCATGACAAAAGAACAACAGAAGAGCACTTACGCGTGAAATTGTACACCAATACGGAGATTAAAAGCCTAAAAACCATTAGCAGCAAGGGATCGGGTGGACTGTGTCCAAAGTACCACAAAACCTTTTGTTAGCTGCCCATGAATTTTATGCCAACGGGTTTTTATTGGTACCTCTTTTTAGGAACAATCTATTCTTTCATAAAAGCCACATACACAGACATCCTATTGTGCATACAAGTGCATTTCTGTGCAAGAAAATCGCTTAGTCATAATTCATATGCAATCCAATCAAGTGACACTAACTGCACCATGTGAAAAACTGGGGACATACCAGTTTGCCTATGAACTTTGCCCTGAGAAACTATTTACTTTCACTTTCACAGAAGAGAAACCTTCAAGGCTGAAAGACAGGCAGTAGAAGTGTCCTGTGTTCTCCAAGTACTGTACATGTATTCTCTTCTTCTTTGCATCCATGTAAATTTGTGGTCCACATCAGCTAAGAAAAGTGGCACCAGAGAGAGGCCTTCTTCCCACAAGGGCCTTTTAATTTGAATAAATTATGGAAGAATGAATATTTCTTTTAAACAGTGATGAGAATTTGGGATGCAGAAATGGATAGATTCACTTTCTTTTCACCAAGTAAATGGATCAGAGACACATTGAGGAGACAGTGCCTTTCTTTCCTTGTCAGAGAGACAGAGATTATTAAATATAGTTCTGACTTCATTCTACCCATCTCTCTTTTAAATCAGATTACACCAGCTAATGCAAGAGCCAGCGTGGTAGAATGGATAAAATAGTGTAGTGGATAGAGTGATAAACTAGAATTCAGGAGTTTAGAGTTCAAATCTTTGCTCAACCATGGAAACTCACTCGGGTGGGGCAGTGGTAAACCACTCCTTAAATATTTCACATAATTTGTGAACCTCATTAGTGTCACCGTAGGTTGAATATTAGTTGAGAAAGAGATTGGAACAGGAGCATGACAAGGATATATTCTTTCACTACTGCTTTTCAAAGCATACTCTCAGAGTATGTTTAGACAAATGCTTGCTGATTCAAATGGTGCTAACATTGTCAATAATAGATAAATAATAGCAATATTACTGGCTGACAACTTAGATGACCAGCAAAGATCATTCAACGAAGTAATTAATCATTAGGTTCAAAAAGTGAATGTATAACCAAGTTCATGGCAATCAGCAACCAACAAGTGGTTTTCAGAAATGTATTAAAGATGTAGGAGGTAGTGGAAGACAGGAGGGCCTGGCATGCTCTGATCCATAGGATCACGAAGAGTTGGACACGACTTAAAGACTAAACAACAATTAAAAAGTGTAGACAGGATGTTGACAAATACAAGCATCTTGAAATTTGGTTGAATAAACAGTGAGCCATGCAATAGAAATCAAAAGAGAGATGACTCAGAGCATCTTCCTTAAGATGCAGAATGTAATAGGCAACAAAAACATAACATTGGCATTGACAGTGTGCATTGTACACTGCTACGTATTTGCAGTTCAACTATATGGCATGGAATCAGGGTCTTAAACATATGTGCTCTATCTATTTTGAAAAAGACAGAAAATGTTTGAAATAAGGCTATCACAGGATACTGACCATTTATTGAACTAAGTAGGTGACCCGCTTAAAAATTCTAAATGAAATGAATCAAGATAATGAGGCAGGAAAAGTGCAGATTGTTACAGCTAATCACTCAAGGCAAAATAAATGAGGAATACGTTCAGGAAGGATAACTTTTTAGCTGAGGAAGCAGGGACACCAATTTAGATGCAACGTACCATCCTTATTTAGAGCTGCCACAAGCAAAACATCTATAGCAGTAACCAAACTGGTTGGAGGAGGAACAAGAAGAGAATGATGCTGGACTAAGCATAGTGTTCTATTCCAGCAACACTCTGCCTTTCTTACCACAGACGTACTTATAATATGACCATCTTTACTGAGATATCCATGTACTTCCAGAAAGCTGCAGATCTGAACAGGGCTGTTAATTACAAAACCATTTCAGATTCATCAGTTCTGTAGGTCACGCTACGTAAGAAGTGATTTGATAGCACATAAAAATGAATCTTGGATTTAAAACACCACAACAAAGGCTTACCTAACACAACCAATTGGATGGTGAGATTTTTGAAGAGCCCATGTTTAGTGTTGTTCAGCAGGATGGTATAGTTCCCGGTATGCTTTGTTCCCACGTCTCTTATGACCAGTTTATATTTCACTGGATCTGGTTCATAACAGTTGTTTATGGGGAGTGGCTTGTCGTCTTTGTGCCTGTTTTGATCAGCAAGGAAAAGGGAATTAAAAACATTTCCAATCAAAGGAAAACTTATGGCAGAACACCATTCCTGGTAACAGTACAGATTAAGTTGAAATTTAGGCTGATGTGCACACACTGTTCATGTATCACTCGGCCACATGATCTAAAGATGTGACTCCACTGCAGGGAAAATACAGTTTAGTCGGCTATGTTTGCAGCTTATCAGATTGGGATTCCCCATGTGAAATCGCTTCAGACATCTAGAAGACAGTTGGCAGGGGTCTGCAGAGCAGAGGGAGAGAGCTTGGCTTGCACAGAGTTCCAACAGCAGAAGCTGCCTTAAGGTGCTAACAAGGTGCTAATTGGCAATTTCTTACCCCCTCTTTTTTTCCCTTTAGTTTTCTGAGGTGCCCTAGTGACAGCGTATTCCAGCACTAATTTGAAACCTTTTAAAAAAAACACCCAGAAACTGGAGACTTAGAGGCACTACATTGTGGGAAACTGACATCCCCACAAGTGCCCCTTTTGCATTAGATTAGGTGATCACACTGGCAGAAAGTGGGCAAAAGTGATATAAAATTCATCAGAAGAAATTTATACCACTCCTGCTGACTGAACAAAAAAAGATGATTCCCCACCCGAAAGAGACAATGCCATAATGGACTTCCTGGCATTGCGTTTTATATTGTGTGGTCACTAGGTTTTATTTTGAATTTATCAGGAACTAATGTGATGTAAACTGCAGGGTAAGTGGCTAACGAAGCCATTCCCTAACACAACTTTACCCAACAGACACCAGAGTTGTGGTGCTATATGGGGATAGGCCCCAAAGAACAGAACAAGAAGGAATAGACATGTGTAAGATTGCTGGGATGATTGCCTAGGATTGTCATATCTCCCACCTTCCTTTAGTTTATGGATGTCAATTCAAAGCAATTCCTGGTTCCTTACCAGGTCACATTGGGGTAAGGAAAAGCGTCCACTTTCCAAGCCAATTTCAGCAACTTCTGCCCTTCGATTACCTCATAATAGTTTTTCTTCTTATAGGAAACCTTGAGAAATGCTCTCTCTTAAATAAAGAAGAAAAATGCCAGAGTTTGTTCCAAGTCTGCTTTGTCACAATAATAAAGCTAGGAACTACAGATAAAATGGCACAGTCCCAAAGTTCATATAAAAGAACAGGGAGATAGACAAAAGTTAGCATGCAGTAAAAGATGAGAAACTGGACAGTCACAGCTAGCACTTTTTGACGACACCTGATATTTTATGCAGCAGTGTATTTATTGATTTAATTTTGGAGTACAGTTTGATGCCTTGCTAAATGATTGATTAAAAAATAACTATGCCAAGTATTTAGGTAAGAGGGACACTTTCTAAACGATTGTCACAAGCAAAAGCTTGAGGAATGGATCATGTAGAGGTATATCAACTGCACTTCCTTATGAATGGGTAATTTGAATGAATGAATTGCTCAAAGTTCCTGGTACCCAAAGCAAGCCAATTTATTTTAGCACATATGAGTCAGGAAACCCCATGGGCACCTCCCCCTGCCCCACATTCCTGGCAGTAGGAAACTGAACAACAAATTAATTAGCAGGAAAAATGTTATAATTTTTGTGAAACCTGAAATCTGTGGCAGGAAATAGCTTTTCCATTCGGCCTAAATTCAGAGGCAGCTGTGGATTGATAACTGCCACCAGCAGTTCTTTGATGGAGCATATTGACCCAATTGTATTATTTGCTTTGTTTTGAAGATATTGCTTGCCGATAAAGACAAATTTCTGAATTTCTCGGCATCAGCTTATGCAGCCAGAGGAATTAAAAAGAAAACCTTCTTGATCCTATAACAGCACTTTTCTGAGGCATGCTTGTACCAATTTACAATATTATGATATAGCTGGTTCTCCAGTGGTCCCCAACCTTGGGCCTCCAGATGTTCTTGGACTTCAACTCCCAGAAATCCTGGCCAGCAGAATTGGTAGTGAAGGCTTCTGGGAACTGCAGTCCAAGAACATCTGGAAGCCCAAGGTTGGGGACCACTGCTTTAGACCACTGGAAATGAGACTCCAGAGCAGATGGATTTACAGATTGTGTGCATGCATCTGTGTGCACATGTTAAAAGATGGACAAACCAACTGATGCATCTAAAGAATGATATTTCAGAAGTAATGTTTTTAGTATTTTAATATTACTTTCAAACTGTTGCCTTTAAAAAAGGTTAGATGCATTGCAAAAGCAGCAATCTTAGCATTAGTGTGTTAAACTGAGTATATTATTTTTGAACTTTGCCAATTAGGACTTCCTATCCAGGGCTAGATATCATATTTAGGAGTCATTCGTACTATATACTGTTACTGTGACATTGGCCTTCAATTCTCCTTGCGATGTGTTGACCGCTTTGCATATAAACAGCCCTTTGTCTTCAATTGTAACATCTTGGATGGTCATGTTAGAATAGTACACTTTACTATACCCTTTATCATGCACTTTCCGTGAATACTTTCCAGGTATGTATTCCTAAAGAGGGATAAAGAGAAAGAGGTTAGATCAGAAACCTTAATAAGTCATACATGTTTAACCAAGAATTCTGGTGACATTTCATCAAAAGGTAACATGATTTTCATCTTTTTGTCTATGTGCAATTTCACAATTTCTTTCCTAATGAAATGTTTCTAAATGAGATATGGCATTTTAAAAATTAGAATGTGATAACACATTTTCTCTGCAGTGATATAATTCCTTTAATGCTCTGTACCCCTGCAGTCAGACTTGTAAATAAAGGTCAATCAGAAAACAAAAACACCAAACAGAAAACAAAAACAAATCAGTTTTCAACATGCTCAGGTAAGGCAAGCGTGCACTAGGAGAAATATATGTCTTTTTTAAAAACAAGTATACTTTCAATTATGTGTTATCTTTACTGTTTACTTTAGGTGTAGGAAATGATGGCTTACCAGATATTTATATACTATGACTCCTGTAAACCTTCACCCTTGGCTATCCTAGCCAAGACTGATAAGTATTGTAGGCCAGAAACTTCTGAAAAATCTACTTGTGACCCAACTTACTCTTATTTTGATTCTTAGTTATCATCTATTGCTCAAAATGTAATTTTTAAAATACTAATTGCTATGATATTTAGTGCATTTTAAACTCTACATCTTAGTTGTTCTGAAATACTAACTTGAAGTAACCTGCCAGTTGTGAAAATGGTGCTAGGAATGGGATATATTTCTGTCTCAAGCAGAGATATAAATTCTTATTTTTCTTATTGTCTCTGGCAAGGATGAGAAATTGCACCATTCTTCTTGCCTGTGATGCTGCCAGAGCTTTAACTGCACTCTTGAATTGTTCCTTATATTTGTAAGGTATACCAAATGAAGCAATAAGGAAAGAAAGAGACCAGCAGAGCAGTAAAACAAAGAAAACTGGGATGACTGCGTCTTTGTTTCACAGTCAATATTAAACCTTGGATGGGTTGCTTGCATCTTTGCTAACAATCAATAAGTTGTTCTGCATTTGTTGTGTATGTCTACAAATACCTTAATGGGGAAAAAGACCCTAGTTATGCTTTTGACTAGTGGCAGAAACCATGCTGAACCCCAAATTTCTTGTTCAGATATCTTATGGAATCAAGAAAGACAAAAGTGATCAAGATAAGAGATTTTACTTGAGTCCCAATGACTCAATCCTCAATACAGAACCAAACCCATCTATTTCATGAACACCAACCCCTAGATCAGTGGTCCCCAACCGTGGGCCTCTAGATGTTCTTGGACTACAACTCCCAGAAGCCTTCATCACCTCCTCTGCTGGCCAAGAACATCTGGAGGCCCAAGGTTTGGGACCACTACCCTAGATGATGGCTAAAGTCGAGGAAAAGTTTTCTGCACAAACCTCGAGCTCTGAATATTAAACCAGAAGAGGCTAGGCTAGACCTACAGAAAACAAAAACAACACAAATTGGCAAATGAATGGATGCTGAAGAGTGTCTCCCATCAGGACAACACTCCAGCAGGACCATATGGAAGTTACTTATTTGACTTCAAAGTGACATAGGAAGATCAAAGGATCATTAAGTAAAATGGAGCTACATGAATACAGGATAATTTTTTTGTGACTGTGGAGAAATTTAATCAATGCAACACTTATGTGTATGCAATTTATGCCCCACCACATGTGCAAAAGAAAACCTAGTAAATCGCTGGGATAGCACTATTGAAGTAGACCGTTTCTGGTGAAAAATAGTCTAATTATCTTAACATTTTTATTTATTTTTTAAATTTTATGTGTATTTCGAATAAAGGAAGAAGATTCCCCATCTCTACTGAAATTCAGGTCAGTTCCAGAGATTTTCATTTAGGTTGTAGCCTGTCTCATAAGGATACAGTATGTAGTTGCTTCCCCACCTCTCCATATGCCAGGAGCCTTTGACATGGAAGGCTTCTGGTTTAATTAGGACAACATCATCCCCCTCTTTCTGTATCAAAAACCTAGCACAGCTTAGAGGCACCTCTGACCCTCATTCACTCTTCTGTCTCAGGTTCATGAGCATCTAGTCTGGCAGTGGGTGGTGGAATCCTGGCTCCCTCTGAGAAGTCACACATTCCCATCCCTTGCCTTCTCAGGCCTTGGTTTTTATGTCCTGAGGATACTGGAGATGGGCGAGTCCAACTTTTCTGGGGCAGTGAATCTTCTCTGTATTCATTCCAAACACTGAAGTCACTATCCAAAGCAATGAACCAGTTTTGAGATTTCAGCACTTTTAAGAACTCCCATAAAATTCAGAGTGACAGTTAGAGCAGATTCACCATTCCAGAAAAATAGTCACCAACCACTACTTCTCGAAACTTCTGGCTTAGTTCTGCCCCTCAGGTCAATAAAAAGCATTTGAATGCTACTTCAGACACAATGGCCATCATTTCATAGAACAGATTCAGATGATGTTTGAAAAACCCAGGCCACACAGTGCAAGGAAAGAGCAAATCACAAACTCATGCCTGCTTTATTTAGCCATAGCCCAGCGACTGCTCTGTACTCACTTTCATGCCTGGGAGCTTCCACATAAATTGAATTCGGCCATTGGGATCCATCTCACCACTGCATTCCAAATGAAGGGATTCCCCAGCTAGCAGCTTCTCTGGAATGGCTTTCAAATTTAGGTTTGATACCTTTCTTTCTGAAAGAAATAAACAAATGACTGTCAGTTATCAAAATGAAACTGACGGATGTTGAAAGAAGGGGTGAAAAAGTAATGCACATTAATGGTTGTTGTGGGTTTTTTAGGCTCTTTGGCCGTGTCTTGAAGGTTGTTCTTCCTAACACTGCGCCAGTCTCTGTGGCCAGCATCTTCAGAGGACAGGAGTAGCACTCTGTGCTCTGGTGCAGTTTGTTTGGGAGTTGAGTATTTGTAGCTGTTGGATCAGTTTTTGTCCTTTTCAGGAGATGGGTGATTAGGGTGATCAGTGTGTTTTTGTTGTTTTGTTTTGGTGTATTGTTGTGATAATGAGGAGAGATTATCCGTCACTGTGATTGATGGGAGTCGTTAGCTGGTCTTTTGTGTGTAGTGATCACAGTCCCTGTGGCTGGGTAGAGTTCGTTGACCTTTTGCAGGCTGTATTTTTCAGTGTTGGGAGCCAAGCTTTGTTGAGTTTTAAACTTTCTTCTTTTTTGTTGAAGCTCTGCTGGTGTTTATGGATTTCAATGGCTTCCCTGTGCAGTCTAACGCAATGATTGGTCTTGTCCAGTATTTCAGTATTTTGAAATAGAATTTCATGTCCAGCTTGTTTTAGGGCATGTTCAGCTACTGCCGATTTTTCCGGTTGTTTTAGTCTGCAGTGTCGCTCATGTTCTTTGATTCTGGTGTGGATGCTTCGTTTTGTGGTTCCAATATGTACCTGGCCACAACTGCACACTGATCACCATAATCACCCATCTTCTGAAAAGAACAAAAGCTGATCCAACAGTTATAAATACTCAACTCCTAAACAAACTGCACCAAAGCACAGGGTGCTACTCCTGTTCTCTGAAGATGCCAGCCACACAGACTGGCGAAATGTTAGGAAGAACAACCTTCAGAACACGGCCAAAGAGCCCAAAAAACCCACAACAACCATTAGTTCTTGGCCGTGAAAGCCTTGGCAAATACAATACACATTAACCTTTTTTTTGAAAAAACAAACAAACCCACATATTAATCTAATCTCTATTATAAATATTTTAGTACTGTATGATGATATTATATATGTCAAATATCCTACCTGTGCATTTGAAAAATATGCATGTAGATATGCAATTTTCAATGGGGAGGTGCATAAAAATGTACATGTGTAAAAACCCCACACTTTAGGAAAACTGCATACCAAAACCCAAAGATTTCCCTAGAAAGATCTGATTGATCAGGTGACCCCATCTTGGCTCCGACCTATAAGGTTGTGATTCCCCCCCCTTCCTTTTTATTTTAATCTGTTGAAACATTTCACATAATTTCACAACTGTTTTGAGTTGCTGTTTTAAATTGCCAGTGCTCTGCCTTAAGTCCTCCAGATAATGGACAACCTATAGATCATTCAATAAATAAAACAGCCCAGAATGGACACCCAATGTCTGGCCCATATTCAGCTCATATCTCAGTGCTTGGAGAATATTTGGGGAAAATCCATTTTCAGCATCTGAAGGGTAGAATTTTGAAAAAAAATTGTGGGAACAAATGCATTGGATCCCTGTGACTGGAATGAAGTTTAGAAAGTTATGTGCTTAGGGGATGGGGAAAGATCTGTGAAGAAAAGGAGGGTGAGCATGTTGGGGTATCGTCGACAAGGTACTCACCTACTTTTTGTGGAAGGTAAAGGGACATGTAGCTGGTTCCCTTGACTGTGGCAACACACTTGAGCATGGTGCTGAAGAACTCAAAGGAGGGTGAAGTGATAAGAAACCCTCTCTTAGGATCCCATTCCTTTTTCACATAGCTGAAACTGTTGATGGAGGAATACTAAAAAAAGAGGACAGACATGATGATGCTACTCCCTTAACATAACCCAGGTTCACAAAGCTGTGATGACCTGTACCCATTCTACATCAATATTGCCTCCACCCATCCCTTTGCTTTATGAGAAAAAATATTTTACTCATCTATTTAAAGCAGACACATTTCTGAAAATATTTTTTCTTAGCAGATTTCAAACAGTGGTTCTCAGTCCTCCATAACTTCCACTCCACCAACCACTTTATGGAAGAATCTGGCTTCCTCCCTGATAGAAACCCAAAGTTCTCTTGCCTAAGAAGCATATTGACATGGTTTCATATCATTGTGGTATATATCATTTGCAGCCCATTTTAGAGGCAAAAATAATAATTATATTTGTAGTTGAACATTGTAATAATACTCTAGAATACAAATTGATTTGCTGTAGCAACTGTAAAACACAAAGACAGTAAAAATCTAGTGATATTATTGATAGTACATTTTAGTGCTATACCTAGTAAAGACACAAAAATAATAAAAATGCAGCCAATTTACCAATTGAGACATTATAATGCTATGGCAAGCGAGAAGAATTATTCCTAATTTTGTGTTAGTAATATTTTATGGCCCACCTAGACTATTACTATGTCTCACTGGTAGTTATTCAGAATGTTATTGTTAAAAGGTTGGATGCAGTCCTCCTTTCTACAACAAAAATATGGGTTTCTAGCTCATCATCTAGCTCATTCCAGAAGGCTTTTAACTGAAATAACTTTGACTGTTGAGTCTTTATGATGGCAATTATAATTGTATTTTGTATTTTAATCATTTTATATTTTATTGTATTGAATTTTAATTGTTGCAAGCCGCCCAGAGACCTTTGGGTAGAGTGGGCAGCATATAAATTAAATAAATAATAATAATAATAATCTCAGATGGCTGCCTACAGACTAACCCAGGCACAATCACTGCACCCTCTGCCCTATTAATCAAAATGTGTTTTGAGTCAACTCCAAGAGAAACATGACCTTCCATAATCAGTTGAGAAGAACTGTCTCTTCACCAAAACAGAGCTACAGTAAGTAGGTAACCACCATTTTTTTAGCCCAGAAAGTCAGATTCTGCCCAGAAATGCTGCAGAGGGTCTATCATGCAGCCCAAACAGCATGATCAGAGTCTTGCCCCATGGCCAAAGACCCAGTGGTCTGGTTCTCCTGAAATGGGTTAGGTATTACTTCTATTGGGAAATGGAAGACTGCCTGAGGTTTGGCAGCAAACAGAGTCATCTTCCATTCTCTAATAGGAGTATTGCTAGCCAAGTGAGAAGAAGTGTTGTTTTTCATTGCACATCACTTTGAACTAGTTAGTTTGCTCCTTCACCCTATTTTCCTTGCTAGTCTGGAGGATGCAGCACTGACTAGACTAGGACTACCACAAGGAGGCCCTGCTTCAGCAGTTAGTAACTATGAGATAGTCTCCCATCATCCCTTTGAGAAGTGAGACTTCACTGAAACATGGATGAGAAGAGTGGGTAGAACAAAAGAGGTACAAACCACCAAGTTATGATAGCACCTTACCTAATTTCTACCTTGCATCTTTTAAGAATTTCCTCAATTTGATACTCATGGGATAACATTGTAAAAGTCATTGCAGTGAAGAAGGCAATGACTAGGCTATGAACCCAGGAGACTGGCTTTTACCAGCTCAGACCAGCCCTGGCTCTACCTTTCGGCAGAGTTAGGCAACTGCTGAATTCCATGGCCATTCTCCTCTGGTGGATGACCCAGCCCTGACCACCATGTAGCATGTCACCCTTGGTACAACAGAGGCCCCTAAATGATTACAAGTGACGAATGAAAATTCAACTGACATTCCAGTTTCCTTCTGCACATGGAATGGTGGGGTGCCATTTTCTCCTTTGAGAAAGGCAGCAAAAAGTCTTGGGCTGGCCCTGAATCAAATCATTTCCCTCTCTAGCCTGTCGCTGTCTACCTTCCCAGGCTAAAATCCGGTAGTAAGTTGCAACTAAGGTAGGTCATTTGAATCAATGGAATTCACAGAAGAGTTGACCTTTAAAATCCCCACAGATACAATGGTCTTCCTGTAGTTGTGGTTTCTACTGGATTTTAGCCACTGGGAACAGTCGCCCAGGATCTCAACGGAGAAAGGCCCTTTCCATCCGTGAGAAAAATGGAGGCTCCAGGTACTGAACTTTGGACTGTTTCTATACAGGTACATGGCTGGGCAGCACCCTGTGAACTTGCTGTAGTTTGCCTCTGTAAATGACTCCACCTTTCTGGAGACTTATGACCTACCCAGCATTAATTTTCTATTAGGGGCAAATTGCTGGAAGGGCTGATTTTCAAGCCCAGACCTAAGAACCAATCTGATTTCAACTGACATGTTGAGTTAGGATCTTTTTGGTATTAGGAGTCTGAACACTTTCCCCATAAATATGTAAAGGGTATGGAGTGCAGTCATTTTAAAGTATAATGGAAACATAAGAAATGCAATTTATGAAGGGAAAGTACATTGCTATAGGAATAATAAAAATTGAATGAAGTTGAATATTATTGCTTTGCAGCTGAGTATTCCCTGACAGTTAGGAAACTGGGAAGGAATAAATATTATATGGATGCTCACGTGTGCAAGTGCATGTGCACAAGCATTTTGCCTATATGTTTTAAGTTCTTCCTACAAAATCTAAAAATATGTGTACTGATTTCACTTCTTTTTTAAAAAAGCAGAATAAGATCTACGCTGACACTTGAAATAACCTTGTGTTACTCCTCCCCCCCCTTTTTCCTGAGGTTTTATCACCGAAGAGTTATTAATTTTGGAGAAGGGTGTTCTAAATTTGTCTAATCATTTGGCTCCTTCCTTCCCTGCTCCCTTGTCTTCCTCTGAGGACAGGAAGCAGCCAGGATGGCTCCGACATAGCATTTCCCAGCAAGGACAAAACAACAAGCAGCTTTTTGTTAAATGGCGATAGAATAAGATCGGCGCCCAAGGTAAACACACACCTCCGTGAATAGATCTGCCCTCTTTGCTAGAGGCCTCACTCTGTCTCTCCAAGAGGCACCTTCCTTTTCATGTGTGCATTCTCTTCCCCACCCTATCCTTCTCCTTGTAAGGAAGAAGAAGGTGGAATTTTTGGCCCAGGTTTCTAAGAAACTCCAAATGGAAACATCCATTTACCCATTCCAGAAGGTCAGATCATTACTGAGAAATGACTGCCAAGAGGTTTGACATGCAGCCAGGTAAGAGAAAAGGCTAAGACTCTAAAAACAAGGCTCTGAATTCTAACACCCATTGCTCAAGAGTAGGTGAAAGAACCCTCTTCAGGGGTTCAGAGAAGCTGGGGATCTTGCGAGTTGTAGTCCAACACATCTGGAGGGCACCAGGCCATGGAAGACTGTTGTAGGCCAATATTAATCCTCTGTATAATTTAACAAATGTCAACAGTGACACCCCAGTATGGCTTTTGGTCAGTGTTGATGGACAGGAAGGTTTCTCACTAAAACTTCCAAAAAGGAGAAAGAGCAAAGAGGTTGTTTTCAGTTCCAGCCTGTGAACATAAAGGGCTGTGTCTCCCTCAGGGGTCTGATACTCTGATACTCTGCCAACTGGAATGTCCCATCTCTTGAAAACCCTCAACATTTGACGCTGATGTGCTTCGGACTCCTTGGCATCTTCTGATTCTTTTGGCAGGTATCAGATGCCATTACAAATCTGTCACTCATCTGATACAGATGGTTATTAAACACCCCTGTGTGTCATGTATCCAGACATGCTCTCAAATATTAAATACCGTTACACGTCAACTCATAAAACGCATCAGACATCAGCTGCCAATTGCCAAGATCAAATATAACGGAATGTCAAGCACACCCATCTGATACTTAATGAATATTTGGCATATTGAGGCTATCTGAAGAATATTCAACATCAAAACCAACAGAGAAGAAACTAGAGGAGAACTGAGGGAAGAAAATCTATTTCATCTTCAGCAAAGGAGAGACAGCACAACAAAATCAATTCTGCTATTTTATGTGGCATGTTGTTGCACCTCCCCTGCCGGTAAGCACACCTTGAGATGCCAGGTGGTGCATCACTGTTCCCCAAGTAAAATTACCCTGTTGGTAGACCCAAGGACGAAAGGGACGTGGTGGCACTGTGGGCTAAACCGCAGAAGCCTGTGCTGCAGGGTCAGAAGACCAAGCAGTCGTAAGATCGAATCCACGCGACAGAGTGAGCGCCCGTCGCTTGTCCCAGCTCCCGCCAACCTAGCGGTTCGAAAGCATGCAAATGCAAGTAGATCAATAGGGACCACCTCAGTGGGAAGGTAACAGCGTTCCGTGTCTAAGACGCACTGGCCATGTGACCACAGAAGATTGTCTTCGGACAAACGCTGGCTATATGGCTTGGAAACGGGGATGAGCACCACCCCCTAGAGTCGGAGACGACTGGACAAAAATTGTCAAGGGGAACCTTTACCTTTACCTTTTAGACCCAAGGACACAGCTGCTCGCCAGAATTAGGATGGAGCAGGAGGCTGGTGCACTCATCTAGAGAAGGCCTCAAGACAATATAGTTTGTAAACTTGAGAAAGGAATTCCTGCTCATCACCTTTCTTCTCTAAAACATACTTATTAGACAATTTTTCTAAATAATAAGTATATTGCACATAATGGAGAGATAAAGGAATCTAGTGATATAAGGCTTCCTCCAGTTGTTAGTCCAGACTAGACCAGATGGACCACGGAATGAATGGGTTAACAGTTAAGTAGGTCTTGTTGATTCAATGGACTGCTCTGCCTGGAGCTGAAAATTAGATTTACCCTCTACAGAATAGATTCTGGACCACGAGATTTCCGTGAAACAAAAATGAAACCAATGTGCTAGCAGCTTTTTGGGAAAACAGCATCAGAATAACTCAGGGTGGGATATCAGGTGCACAGTGTAATAAGGTGTGATGACTATTTACATAAATCTGATATTTGTTGGAGGATCAGCCCCTTGTTTCCAAGGCAGAATTAAGAAATCTGAGCCAAGACAAAGATCAGATACAGTAATTGCTCTTTCTAGCTATCTGCACCTGTTTATTTCTTGGCCATCAACTTTCCTAGTTGCTGCACCAGCAAAATGGGAAAACTGGTTTAAAACAAGCAGGATGACTGATTTTGCAGCAAGAGTCAGCAGTAAGGAAGGTGGTTCCACAAAAATAACTCACTGGATCCATACTGCTCTCGCCAGCCTAGCCAGTCTTTCAGGATTTTTCTGAGGGTTACATCCATCCATGAGCCTTTGTGTATGATAAATTACACATGCTGTTGCAAGGTCATTAGAAGAACACCAGGATTAAAATGTAATTTAAAATGCCTGGTTATACTATTTTGGCAGCAATTCTTTTCTCTCTAAAATGAAACTTAGAAGAAATATATAGTACTTACCAGCTGCAGCTCTGGCTTGATCTCAGGTAAGGTGACCCGACATGGCACAACAATCACATCGGTGGCATTATGTACATAGATCACATAAGGGAATTTGGAATAAGGCTCAACAAAAGGCATGGTATGATCTGCAGAACATAGAAACATTGTGTCACAGAGATGCAAGCCAGCAGGTTCATTTGGTTGTCAAAATGCACACCAGTGCTCAAAAGGGATTCCTCTCACTAGTATATTATCCATTCCTTTAAAATACTCTCAGCAGCAACTCTTCAAGGTAGCTAAAGGTTAGAGAGAGTTTATTCATTTAAAGCAACCCAGGGAGTTCAACTATCAATGGGATTTACACCCCACTGTTCCTCTTAGGGTGACGCATATACCTTTCTTTCACTATATCTTCAGAACAGCCCTGTGAGGAAGGTTAGGCTGACTGATAGTGACTGGCTCAAAATCACCAGTGAACTTCTTGAAGTTCCACATGAACCTGGAACTCTCCAGGCCCAACTTGCTCCTCTGGCTAACTCCACTACGCTGATTTTGCGGCTGAACATTGATGCCTGTTTTGGGGCTGAAGTCTGCTTCAAGTATTGAACGACAAAGTGGAGGATATAAGACAGAACCTTAATTTCAGCATCTCTCATGAACTGCAGGCAAAATGGAAGAGAGAAAAAAGCACCATCATTAGGACTAGAACAAGATGTTTGCAATAATATGCACCAAAGTTTTCTGCTGCAGAAACCCATTTCCAATACATGGATAAATGGCTCTTGGGGAGCTACACAAGCCCTAATGCAGTCTCAAAAAGTGCAAATCAAGAGCCATTTTGAAAGTGCAGTAGCAAAGGATTCTCTCCTAACCATTACCAAAATATCTATGATATTTCCCGTTCAGTTCTATTCCAAGTACTGGGCAGGGTCAGCTCTCCTTAGCTGCTAAAATCAGACAAGATCAGTATTCTCAAGATAGTATTATGGGCATGGTATTCCTTCAAGGAGACTGAAACTGTAGTGATGACTTCTGGGAGCATCACATTGTGTGGTAGTTGTTGATGACTAAGGTTTCTGGTGCATTTGTTCTGCAGGTAACAAATAGATCTGGAAGGAAACATAAATTCACATAACACACCAGCTCCCAGGAATTGTGATCCTGAAACACGTCCAAAAAGACAGTCTTTATTCAGGGATGGAAAAGAGATGGCAGCCACCACAGTGGCTTGTTTTGCTTCTTACTCCTTTGGCATTGCACCCTTCTAACCTGATGCTACCCTTAACATTTCAGGAGAGATTTTGCTGGACAGTTCCTCAGAGCAAACTTCAACCACAGCACCCTGGCCTTTTTAACGCAGAGTGACAGGTTTCATATGATCTTCTCAAGATGCAAATGCACCATCCTTGAGCCTGGCTTTTTCTGTAGCAGCAGAATAATCTTATGCCTCTGGATCAGCTCTCATTTCTTCTAGTGCATTACATTCCAGACATCTGCTTTACATTCCCAGTATAAGAATCCACTACCAACTCTCTAGAAGTATGATGCTATGATTTAGCTTTCCTCTCTGTTGTCATATGCTGTCTGGATGGCTCTGTGAGTTAAGTTTCTGGCTGTGGAGCCAGAGGGTGTGAATTCAATTCCCCACTGTGCATTCCAGAAGAAAGGAATGGGAAACCACTTCTGAGTATCCTCTACCTAGAAAACCCTGAAAAGGGTTGCCATAAGTCAGAATGGACTTGATGGCACACAATTATTATTATTATTATGTTGTCATATTGTTGGCAGCTTTGCTTCTGGAGGAAGTTGGTAGAAATACCCAAAAGAAGCAAACCAAGTCTGATCCGGCAGCACCACAAAAATACTGTTTCCTGCCACATGAGGGTGCAGTTATGGTAGCTTTATCATGTTGAAATACATCCCCTGCTGAACTCAGTTCTGTCCAGAGGTTTTCCATTCTTTTAAAATCTAGGCTTGGAGAAGGTGAGAGGAATGTGGGGGCATAAGGCAGCAATGTCGTTCATGCAGGAGCAGACAGCTCTCCTCGCCCCTATCATGAAAGGCAGAGGGCCCTCCTGATCTCAGAGCTATTTGTATTTTTTTTTTAAAAAAACTAATTATTAAAAAAAATTAAACAAAACCCCAGCAGCACACACAAGAGATTTCTTGAGCTTCTCTCAAGAAAAGGCTGCTTTCTGCAATGGTAAAACTATGTAGCGTTATGCATGTTTGTGTGTTTTCAATGCAGATTTCTACTTTTTATCTTACTCTGTGTAATTTTGATAATTACATCACGTCAAACTGATTCTTATGTATGGTGGCCCTCCTAGAGTTTTCTAGAAATAAAGTATTCAGAAGTGATTTACCAGTATCCTTTTTAGGTCATCCTCTGAAACCCTGCAGCCTGCCCAAGGCTGTGTAGGTGGCAGGGCTGGTCACACCATCAGCCACACATGCTCCTGACCACTGAGCTATATGTCCACTCATGTACTTTGACTCAGACTTTAATCATAGGGAGATACACCCCCTCGCACTGCCACCAACCTTGCTGAGTCACTTTTGCAGCTGCCTGAAATCCCACACCTATCTAAATACATCTTCCCTGTCCTAAAAATCAGAAAGTGGAAAGCTGAGGTTCTTAAGATGTACAGCCACGCACACTGTGCTTTTCTTGCACTGAAGTAGAATCTCGGCAGACATGCAGCTGCAGCTGCAGCTGTGCTTGAAAATAACAGATAGTCTTGTTGCAGCAGAAAGCCTCACATAATGTATTCAATCTGCCTTTGTGGGCTTCAGCCCATTTCGTCAGATGCATAAAACGAGCTACAGCCAATGGTGTCTTATTCCAGATAAAATCTGTTAGTCTTTAAATTCTCACAAGATCCTCTGTTCAGAATCCCAGTGGAATTTTACTCCGGAGGAAGTGAAATCAAGTTAAGCCATGGCTGTAAAGTTCCTCTAGTTAACAAGGCAGCGGTAATGGTCCTGGTTTTTGTTACTGGCACCTTGTTAATTTGTGGCAATTTGCTGACACAACTTACTGCTACTTCACTTACAGCACAGTAAAATTCTAATACGATTTTAGCCATTTTTTATTTTATTTTATTGCTGTAATAGCGCTAGACAAAGTGCTGAATACTCCTTAAAATATTTCTCTCCCCCCCCCGCCTTCCCTTCCTCCTTCCTTTTCCTTGTGTGTGGTGGCTTTTCAGCTGAAACGTCTAAAGGCAGGGATTTTCCTGTCATTTTAAAAACTAATATGCAAGCAGCTCCTAAAAGCTTGCCAGTTGTGTACATGCAGTCAGTCAATCAGTCAATCAGTCAATCAAAACTACATGTGTTTGGGCACCATTGAGAAGGAAGTACAGAGAATGACCCTGTAAAAGAAAGAGATGTTATCAAACCTAAAAGGAAAACATGTTCCTCAGCTATCTTCCCATTCCCTACCCACCCCAAGATCATAATGACTTTAAGTACTTCAGCTCTTTTTAGTATTACAACCCCTTTAGGGAGCAGGGTTTCTGAGTGCTTTCAAGTCACATGGGTTTCTATGGCTAGACTATAATTTGAACCCAGATCTGCTAAATATGTGTCTGTTACTCTATCCACAACACTATCTCTACCAGCATATCTACACTGTCTCAGTTTTGATCCTTGTTCTTTTCTAGATTTGATTATTAAGGGCTTCCCTATCCCTACCTTTTCATTTTTATTTCATTTTTTAATTTTTGGTATTTTTTTGCTCCTCCTTTGTTTGGTTTGCTTATTTAAAGCAGAATGATAATGGAGGGAGTGAAGGGAAGGCTGTTGCCCCTAATAAAAGGTAGAGTTCCAGAGGCAGTTTGCTCTTCCTCATTATCAGCGTATGCCTGGGGATGCGATTACCCATCTGAATTTTAAAAGAGCTGGCTGCACAATTATACCAAACTAGGAAATAACTACATCATTTAAAATGGTTATTAGGGAGGGAAAGCTTTTTTTGCCCCCTGCCAGTTTGGGAGAAAATTCTGAGTGTTTATCCTTCTGTTGCCAAGATTACAGATAATATATTCCTCTGTGTCAGAGACTCGCTCCCCCTCTCCTGCTGGTGCATTAAAAAAAAAATCTACAGCTAGTATGTCAGTCAATCGTGTAATAACAAAGGGAGAGGAAGCACCCAGTTTTTTGCTTTACTTTTGAAAAACACACCCCAGGTGACAAAAGAAAAAACTTCCTTGCCCTTGCATTTTCTCACCTGCTTTGGGGTTTCCCCATCACTGTTCTGGCTAAAGATCCAGGAAATTATTTGCCAGTGAAAAACAGGAACAAAAATAATAGTTTCATTCAAATTATCATTTTTTAGGATGCGTGGGTGGAAAGGACCAGCTGGTTGACTTTTGTCCATCAGAAATACTCCACCTACTGGTAGGCTAAACTTTCCAAAAGAGAGTCAACTGACATAGCCCACAGTTGACATCCTCTGATTATGTCTCATGGGTTGTCATTCTGTTTTTTCAGGATATGCTCAAAAAAGGCATTCTGGGATTGTTCAGAGGGAAATTTCAACAGCAACATTTCCAAAATGATTGCTTGATTTCACTCCATCTCTCCCCTCCCATCTAATTTCCAAACAGGGCAACGGAGTGAAGGTGGAAATGATCAGTGTTCTTCCCCAACTTTCTGAATTGTTCATGAGAAACCAAGCCTACAGGGAAGGTGCACAATTCTGTCTTTGTACAGTGGTGATTTTAGTGGTGGGTGGATTCCACTGAGTTCTGTGGGATAATACCCAGGCAGAATGCTGGGGCAGCATTAAGAACGCATAAAACCTTTTCACATTGGATCCCAAATTCACTAAGGATAATGGGTGGTTCTCCTTCATCTCATGCTAGCATGGGCATAAGCTGGTGCTTGGAATCACCAAGACTGTCTTCGGGAATCAGAAGGACCTTTATTTCACAACTACATCCTAAGGAAGAAAGAGACAGATGAGGTCTGCTACCATGATTTATATGAAGAAAAGAAAGAGATGTGTGGAAGAAAGGGATGTCTAACCTGAGAGCATCAGCATAGGTAAGGAAACACCAAAGTAAACAGTAGAAAGATGTATTTCCTTGGGGTGTGCTCACTACCTCTCTGACACCTACTTTTGCAAGTGTGCTTGTGT